GCACTCAGAGGGCCCTGGAACTCTCTGTTGGTCAGACACCTGGCACAGGCTGTACAGGGCGATGGGTTGGGGTGAGCCCTGAGCCCTCTGGGCAGGTGGGCCCCATACCTGTCACAGGATGGGGCCACACGCAGGAGTGTCATTACTGCGTCATTTGTCTGCACTTCTGTGAGATACAGCAGGGTGTTGTCCAGCCTGTGCTCAGCAGAATCATTGGCCATGAGCCACTGGTGGATGTATCTCACCATGGCAGGCATCTGGAGAAGGCACAGGGAGACTTGGAAAGCTGTGAGAGGGAGCAGTGTTCCCAGTGTCCCCAGAGAAGTGCTTCCCTTCCCACCGCACTGCGATGGCCTCAAAGGCTCACAGGGGCCAGCACCAGTGGCTTGGGAAGCCGTGTGACTCATGGGGGAAGTGAAGCCTGGCCACAGCTGCTTACTTGCTCTGCTCTGGAAACACCCCTCTGCACAAGCAAATCCAGCAGGGCGGCACTGGTCTCATGTCCAAGGACCTCTGAGCATGCTCTGAGCCCAGGGCTCATGGCGCTGGTCTCTTCCTGCCGAAGTCTCTTGATGAATTTTCAAATGAGCTGTAGGAGAAGGGCAAGAAGCCATGGAGTGCTCCAGGCGTGCTGCTGGGCTGAGCAGTGACAGCAGGCCCAGCCGAGGTGGGGATGGCTGCAGGTACCTGTGCTGTTCTGTGGAAGCGGCCATGGGTGGGGTCCTGCTCTTGTGTCTGTTCCAGGGCTGCATGTGGCAAAGAGCGAGCGCAGCCAGGAGTGAGGAGCTGCAGGAGAGGCCAGAGAACACAGCCCAGCCCTGCGCTCCCCAGGCAGGGACAGCCCCGGGATGACCCAGGTGGATGGAGCGTGGCCACTGTGGGGTATCTGCCCAGGCCCCTCTTCAGGCCTGTCCATGGGCACATCCTCAGGGGATGGGACAGGACGGGATGTGACGGGATGGGGTGGGATGGGGCCAAGCTGGCTGAAGGCACCAGCCCTGTGGCCTGGCTCTGCCACTCACCCTCCTGCGGTGGATGGAACGGCACCACCTCTTCAGTCTCCTGTGCTGGGGCAGCTGCAGGGCCGCCTTCTTCCTCCTCCATCCAGGTCAGCTTGGGCACTCTCAGGGCTCCCTGCCACATGTCAGTGACAGATTTCTGGCTACCCTCAGGAGAGATGCCTTGGAAAACTCTGGGGCACCAAGTCCCACGGTCTGCCCTCAAGGACACCTGCAGAATTGAAGCCTCGGAAGGCCACAGGTCACCGAGTCCTGTGGTCTGGCCTAGAGGTCAGCTGCAGGAACAATGCCTCAGAAAAGCTCCGGGTCAGACAGGAACGAGCGCACTGTGTGGGGGCTCCTCACGGCACCGCTCTGTCCCATCCTGTCCCTGTGGCGTGCTCTTGCCACTTCCAGCTCCTATGTCACCACGTGTCACAAAGGGCCCTTGGACACCTGGATCCGTTCCATGCTGCACCGTGTCACCAAGGGCCCTTGGACACCTGGCTCCATTCCATGCTGCATGTGTCACAAAGGGCCCTTGGAATCACTGCCACCTGCCCTGGGGCCGCCCCCTACCCACCCAAAGTGGCCCAGGTTGGAAGGAATCCCAGGCCCCAAGTGTCTAAGACAGCCTGTCGGAATCTTTAGGAACAGCTCAGACCATCAGCAAACGCTGCCCTGCCCTGCGGGCTCAGGGCAGCAGAAGGAGCCCCCAGGGCTGCCGACGCAGCCGCGCTGGGAAGGGCACGGGACCTTCCATAGAAGCTGCCATGGCCCATGGCCATCCTAAACCCGTGGGTGTGGCACACACAAGGAACTGTGGGCCAGGGCAGGAATGCTGCTCTGAGACCTCGGGCCCGGGGAACGCTGACATCAGCAGGTGAGGCAGAGTCCCTGCCCAAGCAGACCTGCCACCCCCGAGCCCTGGCAGGGCTGCTGCCGTCTCCTTCCCCAGAGACCGGTGCCCCTGGGGGGCTTCTGTGCCAGAGGGAGCCAAACCCACGTGCACTGGGGGCTGTGCTCCTTCCTGCAGGGGCTGTTGGCAGGAGCACCTGGAGCAACTGCTGGCAACACTTGGTGTCTGTCAGATGATGTTGCTCTTCCCTAGAATTATTTTTTTCCATAGAAGGGATTAGCAGCAACACAAAAGCTGCAGTATCTAGTGAAATTCACAGGACAGAGACACAGTCACATCTCATTGGACTTTTCTGTGCATTTTTAAAGCATTCTGGAATAAAAAAACAGCCGAGTTGAAAGTTTAACGCAGCAGGTTGTGTGTCTAGTTGAAGCCAGCAGCTAATACCTGGTGCATTGGGAAAGTGCAGAGGACAGGAATAACACTCAGAGGAAAAGAAGAAGGTGTTCTGTGTCTCTGAGTGTGGTGCAAGCACCCTAAAGGAGCAGCCAAGGGAAGTGCTGCAAGCAGACCTGCTGTTCTTGTGCACGTTCCATTGCTGTTTCTCTGGGGTCCAGAGCCACCGCGGCAGCAGTGCCTCCGCAGGTCTGCTCCAGGAGACCTGGCCACCCTCCCCATGGTGGCAGCAGCTCTGCGGGCCCAGAGCTCTGTGTCGGGGGGGCCTCGGTCACAGCACCTGGCCTGGGCAGCCGCGAGGGCCCGGGCTGGCCGCCAGCCCTGCCTCTGCCCCCTGCCCCTTATTGGCAGCAGCCAGACAACAGCGCCTGCAGGGCTCCCCTGCCCACCGTGCAGGTGCTGGCACCAAACACTGGCGCTGGCTCTGGAGGGGGCAGAGGGCCGGCTGCTGCCCGGGGAGCCGCGGTGCCGCCCCGCAGCCCCACCAGGCCACGGCTCCATCGGCCCTGGCAGGAGCCTGGAGCCTGGAGCAGAGCCCGTGCGGCCTCTGGGAAGGGAGCAGCGTGTGCAGCATGGGCTGGTGCCCCTGGGTGCAGCACCGGACATGGACTGACTCCAGAATTCAGACCTTACAGAACATGGTTTCACGGTTACATTCACACAACAATAGATCTCTACAGCTTCAGGCAATCACACAGCGGGTTTCTGTTGCCACATGGCAGGGTGCTAGACATGCTGCAGTCTTCTTCAAAGTGTCACCTTCAGAAGCTGCTCTGAGTAAGGCCACAAGAACAGCCATTTCAAGTCCACACACACACATAGCCCAGCAGAGGAAAGACAGAAAGGGTCTATTTATGATGTATTCCAGCAAAGGTTTATTGCATCCACCAGGCTGAAGGGATCAGGGACAAAGACCTGGCCATGTGCTCTGCACAAGGTTAAGCAGGGGTCAGTGGCCAATGGTCTGAGGGCACGGGGGCAGCACAAAGGGCAGGGCAAAGGGCATTGGCCTACAGGGAAGACGGGGCCAGCCACCAGGGATACCACGACCAAGGACCAACGAGGGAACAGGGAAAGGAAAAACCGCAAGAATTTGGGACACGGGGGGAAAGGAACGGGGGTGGATCCTGGTGTTGCAAGGCTCCATGGCAGAAGTCTTCTCTTTAAGCCTAGGTGGAGACTATTGTATATTCTTCCAAGGCAAGGCCCTTGGGATTTCCCGGAAGGGTTGAAAGCATTCCACAGGTTTTAAATAGGATGGGAGTGAACAAAAAGCACAATTTTCACATCCAAGGCAGACAAATGATATGGGAAAAATAATTTCCAGAAAGGAACCTTATCTCAAGAATTTATGATGCAGCTAACTGCCATGTGAATCAGTGAAAGCCTGGCTCCTTTACTTTTCAGCAGGAAATATTTCCACATGAAAACAAATACCACTGCTATTGTTAGTGCTGGAGCCCCCAGGATGATGTCATGCACAGCATACAGTACAGTTGAGTGATGAAATGCAGGGAGAAAAGAGCAGCAACCTCTCTGAATGTATCATAAGGATATAAGGCCTGCAGAGAGTATCCAAAGAGGGGAATGAAGATGATGAGGGGCCAGGAGAGGAAGCTGTATGAGGAACAGCTCAGGTAAATTGGCTTGTTCATCTTGGAGAAGAGGAGGAGGTCTCAGCATGGCTGGCAGCTCTCTCCCAAAGGACAGCTCCAATCTCTGCTCTCTGTGACAGGGACAGCACCTGAGGGAGCGGCTGGAGCTGTGTCAGGGCAGGGTAAGGTGGAATTTTAGGAAAAGGTTCTTCTCCCAGATGGTACTGGGGCACTGATCAGACTCCCCCAGGGAACGGGCACAGCCCCAGGCTGACAGAGCCCAAGGAACATTTGAACAATGCTCTCAGGGATGCATAGGACAGGATGGTTGGGGTGTCTGTGCAGGGCCAGGGGTTGGCTTCCATGATCCTTGCAGGTCCTTTCCTCTGGTGAGTCTGTGATTCCATGATTCCAAGACACTGGGAAGGAAGGTTGATACAATGCTTTGCCATGTAAATAAATGCTAATTGTAGTGCCTTCAGTTGGCTATGCTCTCAGTTATACAAAAAAAAAAAAAAAAAAAGTGACAGAATTCAGCTGCTATTTTAGACAGAAAGCGCCACCTGACCATATCAAGCACTGCTCTATTTAAAGGTTCCAACAATCTCTTCTCCATTTCCAGCTGCAAAGATCAGCAAACACATTTGAAAAGTCAAATGAATTCCAGCATTCCCAGAATACAAATTTTCATGACTGAAACCAAGGAAGGATTGCCCACAAAGTCTTAGAAACAGTTCCTAGATGAATTTATGTCTCTCCCATGCAGGGCTGTAATAGCTGAGCTTCTGCACTGCTGAAAGGTTCCGGGTAGAGGGGGAACAAGTCCCACAGTGTTCCTTTACAGTCTGAAATAGGGATGCAGGGTTGGACCAAAGGCTTTCCTTGGGGGGGATGATGTTGAAATCCACTGCATTCTGGCACACCAGCATTCCAGACCCCAGCAGGTCTGACAGCCCGTGCAAGGAACACGCAAGATCCAGCTACTACAGGGCAGAACAGGAAGGGAGATTGATTCATTCAGACATGCAAGTAGTGCGTGAAGGAAACCCACGCACAGGTCCCACCAAGTGAAATGGAAAAGCAAAGGGATTTTGGCAAAAGCAGCAGAACTCTTGGAAATAGGAGTGATTTGCAACAGCAGCTTAACAAGGACTAATTGCTGCCACTGGACCTTAGGGCAGATGAGAAGAGTTTGGGTAACACAGGAATCATGTCAGGAGATAAGCAGTCATCTCCAGTTTCACCACAACCTTGCAACAAGCAGAAAGGGCTGTTTGATCAACAAAAATAAAAATTGCAAGAAAATCCTGCTGACTCCTGCTGAGACATTGATACTCTGATGCCTCTGTTACCATCTGCTTGGGGGTTGCTGCCAGCTCTGAGCAATTATTCTTCATGAATTGGTACCTGTGTGAGCAACAGAAAGAATTGGAGAGTAGAACTCCCAGCCCATCTCAAGGCTTTGCTTTCATCCTCTCGATTCATCAGCTCGGGTGACTGGATGCCTTGTCCAGGGGAGGGTGTCCCTGCCCATGGCAGAGGGTGGAACTGGATGAGCTTTAAGGTCCCTTCCAACCCAAACCATTCTGGGATTCTAGGATTCTTCTGAAGGCACTGTCATCCATCATGAGAGGTCCCTTTCCACAAGCTCCATCATAAACTACCGTCCCTTGTCCCAGGCTGCCCCACTGTATCTAATTACAACCTGTTTTCCAGCCACACTGCAGCTCCCTTTGATCAGCGCTGGCACTGTTTGAGCAGCACTGGACTAAATGGCCTCCAGAGTTCCACTATTTTACAGCCTATTTTTTAGGCAACTTGGAGTCCAGCACATCCCAGAAGCAGCCCAGGAACTGGTGATCCTTGTAGATTTTATTAGGTGGCTGCAAGTCATTCATGACTAAATGGAACTTAGGTCAAGTGAATATCCAGTTCTCCCAGGAAAAGAGTGAGCTGACTGGGGAATGTTTGGCACAGGTTTAAGGTCTTTTGGACAAAACCGCTCTGTGGAAGAAAGAGCCAGGCCGTAAGGTCCGGGCTGATCAAGTTGTTCCAGATTATCCCATTCAACAGTTACACTTCTTAACCTGCTGTCTCTAAAGGTGACAGTGTTCTCTGCATCAATATTCTGTCTGCCTCTCACATCCCACTGTGGGACCCAAACCAATTCTGTCTTGAAACAGGAGGCAAATGGACACAAGGCCGATGACCAGACACTCAAACTGGACCTGAGGCTTTGGGTCAGCTCCTCACACTGCAGCTTATTGCACAGGACACAGGAAGGCTACAGCAATCCAGCCTAATGCCGCACTTTGATAGTGGAAAAATAAACCTTACTTCTGCCCTCACTTCTGTCTTTTCTATTTGGATTGCCTGCTCTTCAGAGTTAAAAGATACCAAGGGCAAAGGATCCAGCACAGCAGCTCCTCATTTTCTAGAGGCTCTCCAACACAAAGACAACTAAAATAACCTTGGCTTAGTCACAGTTATTCAGAGGCAAGTGAGCAAAACAAGGTATTTTAAACAGTGCCAAAAATTGATAGAAACCCCAGATGGAAAACTGTACTTTTCATAAAGAAAAACATAATTGAGGAAGAGAATTTGGGTCTCCTTTCTTCCCCAGTATCAGACAATATGAATATAACCATCAACAATTAATACTAGCTCTTCTTTCAAAGACACACCAATTTAACACCAACACAAATGCTGGGAACTTGATTTCAAGGCAGACAATGGATTTAAAGTGGGCTTACCCTGCTCCAGTAGCTGCTCTTGAATTTCTGCTCCACTCATTTAATTTTACTGGAAATCTCTTTCAGAAGGCCCTTCAAATCAGAGAGCTTAAAAAAAAAAAAAAAAAAAAAAAAAAAAAGGAGGAGGTTATTTTTGTAAAGTCCATCTAGCTGAAGGAATGCAATGCTAATGAGCAATGAAAGTAACAAGTAATCGCCTCTGCAAGTATTACACCAACCGCAAGAGTGCTTGAGAGGACAGTCCCAAGTACAGTGTTCATCAGGGCAATTAATGCAGCGAGCCCTGATGCCTCTATTTCAGAGAGTTAACCAGCAGTTACCAGAAGAGAGAAGCAAGAGATGGGTATTTCTTTTCAGGAGAGAATTAAGGTTAGCAGATCTCCTTTCAGTTTCAAGAGCAGCATCACTAGCCACAGACTCACTCACCACTTCTCTTTCAGTCTGGAAGCAAGCTATTATTTTGCAATCTAAATTATTTGACAGTAACAAAAAAAACGTACTCTGAAGTATATGTGGGTCTTTTCACCTGAGCTTCTGAAAAAGTCTGTGCTTCATACCAAAGCCACTCCTCACTTCAGAGGCCAAACAGATAATTCAGTCAAGCCTCAGAAAATACCCACTGTGAACACACATACCCATTTCAACATCACAGTCATAAAAAGATTATTTGCATGGCAATTCTCATAATGTGCTCTCTGGTAGATGGGTAGCCTTATATTTCTTAATTACACCATGCCAACACCACCAGAAGCTAAACTTGACAGACACCTTTGGGATGGGGACATGTCAGGTGTGTGACATCCCTTCTTCCCACTGGCGTTTCATGGACCTGTTAGACAGCTGAATGTTGCAGTTTAAGATGGAAATTACTTCTGTTTTATTCCATCCCACAAGGAATATTGAGAAACACTCCTCCAGTGCTAAGCAAGTGTCTTTGTTTCATTTTCCTGCACAATATAAAGCTCTTGTGGCTTGGAAGGGACCTCACAGCTCATTGTTGGCTGCTCCAACCCCATCCAGCCTGGCTTTTGATACTTCCAGGGATCCAGGGGCAGCCACAGCTTCTGTGGGTACCCTGTGCCAGGGTGGGCCTAAACTCACAGCCAAGAATTTCTTCCCATTATCCCATCTAATCCTGCTCTCAGTTCAAAACCATTCCCTTCTGTCCTAATGACTACATGCCCTACACACTCCTAGCTATGGAATCAAAAGAGCACGGTAAAAATCCCAGTTAAAATGGGGCCCTGGTGACAGTGACACAGACTGCACACAACTCTGGGAGGCTCATTTTCCTTGCCATGGCACACCCCCTGCTTTACCAGAGAGAATCACATTCCCCGGAGCAATCTGGGACAGAAGTACCTTTGCATCCAGTTGTCTGAATTGATGCACCATCCTAGAAGCAGAAGGAGAACACGGAGCAATGGGATCAGTCTGGATACCAAGGAAAACTTGGCTAATTACCACACCCTCACTCCCTCCAGTGCTCCATCCTGCCAGGGAGGCAGGGCTGCATGTGACTGGCATAATTTTTAGTACAAGTAAATTAACTAACATGCAAATTACTATTAGTAGGATGCTATTACATTTTCCTTCTCAAGACATTTTTGCTTCCAGTACCAAGGAAATGTTTTTGGTATTTGTTTGGCTTCTTATGCAATGCTGCTTGTCTCTGGGTAGTCTTAACCTGAACACTTATTTGTGGACGGCAATGTTCATGCCCACAGACATGGAAGGGTCTGGTTTTTCTTGTCCATTCCTTTCAGCTCTCTCTGATTAAGGGAAATATTCAAGCTGCCAGAAGTTAGCAAAGTTGGGCAATCATACAGAGCAGGTTTAGTTCTCTAGCAGTGTTCTGGTTTTTTGCTTTCTTTCGGTTTTTGTTGTTTTTTTTTCCTCTTATACTGTTACTCTTAAAACAGTGAGACAGATCCCAAAGATAATGTTTCCATGAGCTGGCAGTCCAAGAAATATCCAAGCATAAGTCTCCAAAGTTTCAAATACCATGATTCTAAAGATCATCTTCCCTGCCTCAGAAGTCTCCACAACTCATGCTACTAATTACACATCTCCATTTGGATTACTGCTGTGGGAATGTCTGAGATTCTAGGTCTAACAGTAAACATTCTCCGCTACATGTAAAATCATAGAATTATTTGGGTTGGAAAAGATCGAGTCCAACCAATTCCACCACTAACTCATGTCCCCAAGTGCCATATCCACATGGCTTTTAAATCCCCACGCCGAGATGGGGGTGCCACCAATGCCATGGGCATTCTGTTCCAGGGCTGGACAATCCTTTCCATAAAGAGCTTTTTCCAACCATCCTGTGGTGGCTTTTACCATTGTGAGCACATAGCACTTGCCTTGGCGTGTCTGGGGCAGTGTGATGTAATCAATCTGCCAGGCCTCCCCATACTTGTACTTGGACCACCGCCCACCATACCAGAGGGGTTTCCATCGCTTGGCCTCCTTGAACACAGTATATGCTTCACAGTCATGGATCACCTGAGAAATACTGTCCACGGTTAGATCCACCCCTCATTCTCGTGCCCACTTATAGGTGGCATCTCTGCCCTGATGGCCTGAGGTCTCACTGGCCCATTGTGCTCGTAGCAACAGCCACTGGTTGAGGCTTACAGTCTGGTTTAGCTCCTAGCTTAGGCTCACAGTCTGGTTTAGCTGCTGGCTTTGAGCTTGGGCTGTTGGCTGCAGCCTGAGTGACTGGGATAGCTGCTGATTTATCTCCCTGCCCTCCGTCCTCTGTCTGCTGCCCTACAGTATCTAGCAGGGTGAGATAAGCATATGCCAGGGCCCAGAACACTGCAATGATCTTTTTCTCCTTAGACTTATCATGGCATTTCTCTTTCAGGTACTCTGCCACCTCAGCTGGATTCTGAATTTGTTCACATGGGAAGTCCCAGGCTATAGGGTCAGAAAATTCCGTTAAGATTTGGCTTATATGCTCCCATTTCTTTCTTGAAGTCCCTCACATCTCCTGAATTGAGAGGTATCTCCACATAACCTATTCCCAGAATTTGGGTTGGTTGCCCCTGCTGACCAGCATTGGGCTTAGGGATCATTCCCAAAGCTACTTCCCTTAATGGATATAGAGCTTGCCCTTCCCTTTCTCTTTCCCCCCTTGTTAGACTATGAGTAACGCAGCGATTTTCCTCAGGGACTGGCTCCAGGATTTCTACCTCTTGGTTATCAAAATCTCCCCCTTGATCCAAATTGGGGTAGACTGCAGGTGGTGCTGGTGGGGGTGGAGGAGGGGGAGGTATGTATGGTAGAGGGGGTGCAGTTGGAACTTCCTCAGGCTTTTTATTTTTCTTTTTTCCTCCCTGGGTGCTTAAGGCAAAAAGTTTTGCTCTTGTTTCCCCCACTATCCAGAGAGCAGCATACTTGCTCTCTTCCATATCAAAAGGTTCTTTAGAGTTTAAATTTTAAATGTTTAAATTTTAAATGTTTAATGCCTGGCAAATCCAGTCCTCAAAGCTTCCAAACACTGGCCAAAATAAATTATCACTACGGATTTGTTTCCCTCCCCATACTTTTATACAATAATGTATCATTTTTGCCTTATCCTTCCCTTTTCTTGAAGGATATTCATCCCAAGATTTTATCATTAGACCTAACGGACTGTCAGGGGGTATCTGGGGAAGCTTCAGTGGGGTCCCCCTCCCCATGGAAGCAGAGGGCTTGCTTTTCCTCTGTCCCATCTTCCAGGACACCTTCACGCACACACACACTCGCGGCCCCCTGTTCGTGGCCCAGCCCCTCTCGGGGTCTGGAAACTGCACTACTTAGAGGTCCGCATTTGCCTCGTCCTAAAAGGACGTCTCATGCGTTATGTCCTGGGATCCCAACCCCAACCGAGCGGATCCCCACTTTTATACTCACGCAGTCCTGCGTCTTCGCCCGGGCTTCGTGCACAAAGATTACGGGGTTACCGGTATCCCTTTTGCTTAATACCAAATTTAGGTTCGTTGGTACGGGTCCGGGAATGCAAAGCCTGCACCAGGGCTGCTGCAGAGGCAGCAGGGCACCTCCCTGATTAGGAATTCCCACCCGTTCGCCCTTATCCGAGTCATGGCACCAAATTTGTTATGGACAAATTCAATTGGGGAGGCTAATTATAGATAAATCAATTAACAAGAATTTATTAAGCAAGCGGGATTAAGCAAAAGAACAACGCTGGGCGGCCGGGGAGTCTCTGCTCTGCCACGGTGCACCTTCCCCCTTTGACCTTTTTGTTTTTATAGTCCCTTTTTTTTCCCAGTTGTATTTTCTGTCGATGCACTCTGCGCCGGTGCAATTGGTTGCTAGGGGGTCTTTTTTCTGCCCTTGGTGGTCAAAGGAATGAAGGCTCCTCATCTTCCTTGCAGATTGTCCTTGGCCTACAAGTTAACTTGTATATAATTAGTTACACAGTCTTCTATGCTACTTGCATCTGCACAATTCTTAAGCAGAATACTTGCTGTTTCCTCCCCTTTCTCCTTCACCTCACACATCTTGAGATTCCCTACTCAGTTCAAATTCTTATCTCCTTCAATGCTCATTTCGATGAACAAAGACCTTTTTATTTATTACACTCTGGACATCTCAGCCCTCAGTCTAGAGGAGCTGTAGACTATATAGAGGAAGTTTACTAGATTAAATATGAGGAAAGTGGTCTCTTTAGCATTCAGGGGAAACTGAACCTTTTCAAAAAGGGACGTAACAGATTCAAAGGAGAAGAAGGAAAGGAAAGGCTGGAAAGCTTCATCCCTTGTTTTTCGTCTAATTAACTGGGTGTAATTTCTAATAAACCCCCAAAACATGCTTTTGGAACTGGGACATAGGGTAGGATGGACAAACTATAAACCAAATATATCTTGAACAGACTTCAGACTTTTGTAAACTCCCTATAAATTATTATTACCGAGCCTAGCACAATAGCTATTCAAACCCATGCCCCTCTACTGTAAAAGCTATGGATTAGAACAATAGTGGAGCTGTTTTCAGATAAGAAAATAATCCTAGTGACTAGAAAGCTATTACAACTTCAAAAAAGCCTTGGGACTAGAAACACATGAAGGCCCCCACCCCGAGAGACATTACCACTTCAAGTAACATCGTTACTGACTGCTTTGTGCCACTACAGAGTAAGCACAACCAAAATGCAATCATTACAGGTTTTTCTTCTTTCTTGGGCCTCACATTGGGTGCCAAAAATGGTTGGTTTAGGGTAAAATTAGTGGTTTTTGTAGAAAGTAGATTTAATTGGCCCATCTCCCAACCGGTATGGGAAAAAATACTTCTTTGGAGAGAAGTGACAATAAGAGAAGGAGTTAACAAGAATGCAACTTCCTTATTGCTGAAATTCAATACTAAATTCTGTAATCTTAGACTAACTAATCCTATGTTTTTAACAAATAATCATCTACTCAATCCTAACTTGAAGAATCTTTAAAGCTTAATCTTCTTTTAAAATAAAACAGCCCGAGTTCACAGATGTTTCCTTGCTGAAGCAGACGACTGGTGCCAGGACTCCACTTGCTGCTTGCCAAATTCAGATACTCATTGCTGAATGTGGGACAGCTTTTTGTGGAGGTACTGGCATCTGCTCTTCATCTCAGAGTAGCTGGGACTACCCTAGGAAGGAGAAATCAAAAGAAAATTAGGGCATGTCAACATTTATGCAGAGTGTAGAATTTCATGACCTTTTCTTTAAAATAGCCTTAAGGCAGATTCAGACGTTCCCAAGCCAGGCCAGTCTGGTTTTATTCATGTAAAACAATAAAATTACTCTCAGTTTGACTTTGGAGGTATTTTTCTCCGTGAGACACCATTTTTCTGGGAAATTTGCAAACTGAGCCTATTGTATTACAGACCTAAGAACAAACTCTAGACAAGTCTGAAACCACAACAACAACAATCCAAAGCACAGCAGCTCCTAAAGAGGGTGAAACTCATTAACGCTTAAAGCCACTGAAGGGAGTCAAACCTTCTTCAATCCCTTCTCCCTCAAATCAACAGGTGTGAGGTTTATCAAGCTCATGATACAAATCCAAGATGAAGTGGCAATGAGAATAATAGATGCCACATCCCAACACTGTCACACCAAAGCTTCTGCTCCTCTGGGCCTGAAGATCGGGTCTCTATGCAATGACAAAAACACATTCCACATGGGAATAAACACTTCAAACCATCCTGAGATAAATATTTACAAGGAATAAATCTTTACAAGTTAAAATTCAGTGCAAGGACAGACAACAACATATGCCAGAGATGCATCCCAGGCCAGATGCACCTGATTGGTGTGCAGGATAAGTTTGAAAATAAAACTACAGATGCCTGTCAACATTTTGGGAGGTTCCCGAGAAGCAGTAGCTTCAACTACTGGCCTCTGCCCAGTGACATTTGCTAGCAAGAGCCCGAGCACAGGCCTCACTGCACTGCTCCCCTGAAGGGCCAGGCTTGCCCTCAGCCTTCCACAGAGCATCCCTGGCTGTACCCAGTGGGGCCCAGGGCCCTGCCTGCTCCAAAGGCCACAGCTGCCCCAGAGCCCCAGAGCTGCAGGAGGCCTGACTGCCCTTGCCAACATCACTGCTCTGAGACAAGCTGGGAGCAATTTCCAGTGTTTTATACCACACACACCCACACACATTTCTCCCTCCCCTCCTGCACTGCAAATACGATGAGGGGATGCAGCAGCACTGCTGCAGCTGAGCCTGTGCAGCTGCACTGCAGGAAGGGAGGGCCCATCTGGGCCTAACCCACCTCGGTGTTCATCTCAGCACTTCTCCCCACCTGGCCCATCTCCTTTAGCTTTCTACCTCCTTAGCTGACATTTACTATTAAAGAATGCCTGTACTATTGACTCTGGAATATGGTCTTTCTTGCACCTTAATTCATGCAGAGGCTTCTCTTAATCATCAAATCTTTACTCCGTCGTTATCCACACTGGAGTTAGGAAAAGCTGCACATTGGTACCTTCATGGAGATCCAAGGGACACTACTGCTTCAGCCTCCCAAATTCTCTTCACATTTTTTTTGACATGGTAGTCTTCAACACACGAGTGCTGTCATGGTAGAACTCCGAAATCTGTGTCTTTCTTGAACCTAAAGGGTGCAGGGGAAATGGAGCCGACATTTGTAGACAGGTAGGAAGTAGAACGGGATGTCACAGCCAGCACCCTGGAAGAAGAGTGGCCACCAGGTGCTGGCTGGAGGTAACTGAGCTACTGCTCAATCCTCCACTTCTTGCTCATCGCAGGACTGGTCAAGCCAGAAGCACAAGGCCATTTCTACAACAATAACAAAACAGTTCATTAATCTCTGACCCAGATCAGGCTTTGCTCCCATTGTAAAAAAGAAGGATTTGTGAACTGGCAAAGGTTGAAAACACATGTTTTTTAAATTAAAATAGCTGTCAAACATGGAGGACCTCCAGGTAAATATCTGTTCTATTGCATTCCTAGTTTCTCATCTTAGGACTTAGCCAGTCCTTCTCCAAGTCTACTGCTAAAAGGCTTTGTGAAGTAGACACTCCCTTCAGCAGCTCCAGCAAAGCCTCCGCAAAGGGGAGGTCCAGTAAGTTTTATCTGGCTCCCAATTGCTGCTTGCACACACCAGGAAAAGACTCAGCTTTTGCTGTCAAACATCCACATGATTTACTGAAGAGGCACCTGGCTGTTTTAGAGTTTTATGTGTTAAAAACGAGATTAGTGCTTCCCTCTTAGAATCCAGGAGTACAGGGTGTGATGGTTGGTTGTGAATTCTCATCAGGACGAACAAAGACAGCAGCCACATGTCAGGAAACTCTTGTGCTTTTAGGAGCAGCTGTCTTAAAATCCAGCAGGCTACCTGCTGTGCAGACTCAAAAGCTGCTGGCTAACAAGCCCTTGAATTTGTACAAGAGAGTGTCACAAGTGGTTACCAACAAGCCCTCACTGTTGCTCAGTGCCCTTCAATCATCTCTCAGCTCCTCCCAAGGACCTTCTCACAGCTGCTGACTCACAAGCCACAACACAGAGCCACAAGCTCCCCACAGCCACAGCAACTTCCAAACTGAGGATGGAGTAGAACAGGACAGCCGTGTGTGCCCAGGCAGAGTGAGGGAGGGGAGAAACAGAGGCAGAGCAGGGACTGAGGAAATATCACCATTCTGTAGCTCCTGTGTTGGTGCAGCCATGTGGATAGTGTAGAGCTGGAGTCAGCAATGAGGGTGACAGAGAGACAGAGGCACAAGAGAGCGAGAGGGCTCCATCTGCCCCACCCTGCTGCAGCCTCTTATGTACAGGAGATTTTTCCTGCAGAGCCAGCCCTTTGAGGCCACCTCCAGGGAAGGAGTTGAGGGTGGGGACTGAGCTCAAGTCTTTAGGCAGAGCAGAAACTTGGCTCACAGTGCTGCTCCACCCCTGCAGGATCCTCTCTTCTCATCACAGCCTTCCTGTCATAGCACTTGCAATGTCTGAGGCAAACCATGCTTAGGCCTGGTCCTGCACATTCACATCACACCTTTTATACCACCAGCAAGTCTGCTGAAACTTTAATACTGTGTACAGAATGTTAAAAAAGCACAAAATACCAGAGCAGGTCTTGCTGGAGCATCTCTCTCAGAAGGCCCTGGAGATGTTGCTTGGCTGCTGCTGGTGGGGTTCTGAGATGCAGCTGCTTTTCTGTAAGGATGGTCCAATATTTCAAGTTAAACCGGCCTAAATGTCAACTGCCATAGTCCTTTCCTTTCAGACCTTCAGTGCCAGAACTCAAGGAAAGAGCATGAAGCTGGGTTGAGGGAGCTTTAGGCAGGATATCAGGAAAACATTCGTGCCCCAGAGGGTGCTTGAGCACTGCAACAGGCTCCCCAGGCCAGTGGTCACTGCAGCAAGGCTTCAGGAAGTGTTTGGACAGCACTCTTGGGCACCTGGTGTGATTCTTGTGGTGTTCTGTGCAGGGCCAGGATCCTGGCATGTCCCTGCTGCCTCAGCATATGCTAAGAACCTAGGCTTACTTTCCCAGGGCTTTCTTCTGAAAAGGCTCTTTTCCTTCCCCAAAAGACTGAACTTACCTAGAAAGTATTAACTTCAAATGCACTCCCTCAGTTTTGCTGTAGCCAGGCCAATCAGTCTGAAGGGCTGGAAACAGATGTTCCTTCAGACTGAAGGAATTATCCTTTGCATTCAGGTCAGCAACCTACAGGCAGACATTTTGGAAAACAAATGTTCATTACGCCCATATATGCAAACTACAGAAACCGAAATGGGCTACTTGAGTTGGGATGGCAAAATGTGGCTCTCATTATATCATGAATGTCTTCAGGGTGAAAAATCCCTGCCACTGCCCTGGGCAAACACAGCAACAAACCTCACAGGTTCAGGGCATCAGTTCCTTAAAGTGACTGTAGGATCAATTGAAAGTGTATCCATGTTGAATTTGAGTCCTTTGACTAGGTTCCAAAATGCTTTTTCCTAGCTAAAGGGGAGCTAGTCCTATTGGATATATTAATGCTTGTATTATTCAGCAAAAGCCTCTGTGGATGGGGAATATTTAAAAAGGAAGGAAGGATCTACTGCATCTTTCAATGGGTGTGCGTTTTATGAAAGACTATGAGAAAGACATCCCAGTGGAACTTAACTTGAAGGAGTATTGGAAAAGTCTCGAATTTAAACAGGTGTGGAAGTAGTAAATTATGAACGGCAGAATAGCATGATGGAAGAAGTGCTGGCACAAGCTCCACGATCTCACCTCCTGAAGGATTTTTCCAAAGGAATCCTTGTCCTTTTGCCTGACTCCATCTCTCTGCAGCCGAGCAAGTAACTCTGGCTCCTTGTAATCCCTCAGAGCAAGTAAATGAATCACCCTGTCCCTGTAGGGTCGGCTGTAAACAGCAGTGCAACCACTCCAGTCAAGTTCTGCAAGTCTCACAGACATCATCCTCTTCTTCTCAGGCACAGGACCTGAATTGCTTTGCTGGGCTCCTCTGACCACTGCTTTGTCTCCTAAAGAGAGGGAAAACCAGAAACAAATAGTTCAAATTGGAGGTTTGGAGAAGGCAAGGAAGCTGATTCAAAAGGATGTACCAAGACTTTTGAGCCTCTATTTGTCCGTCACTTACAGATCTCCAAGCATCTAAAGAGTAAAGCATTAAAAAGTCGTTAAAAGCTGGTAAAGGAGTGATGCTGGATGGGAAGTTTTTAGGAAAAAATATTTTTATGCATTTTGCTTTTATATGATTTCCCCAGTTTGTAAGCTCAAGCATTCAGCTATCTCTAGAATGACACTAAGTGCACCCTCAGCAAGTGCATCCTCTAGAATGGATTAGGTGCACCCTCAGCAAGTTTGCCAAAAACAGAGGCATGGGATGCCATCTGGAAGGACCAAGAAGTGGGGCCTTTGGAACCTCATCAGATTCAACAAGGCCAAGTGCAAAGGGCTGCATCTTTGGGTTTGGGACATTTCCTGACAGCAAGACAGGCTTGGGGATGAAGGCGGGGAGGACTTGGAGGTGCCGGTGGATGGGAGGCTAGATATGACTAAAAAACCATACGGATATCCAGTAAAAAATTAAATGGAAGCATATCTAAAAGTGGTCCATCAGTTTAATACCCTTTGCACTTGGATTGTGTGACTCCTTTTCTGCTTGGGTGCTGCACTCTCTGCTCATCTCTTTGGCTTTGCTCATGGCAAGCATTTTATCGAAATCCAAAGGATGGGATTTTTTCACCCTGTCTAACTCTGTTTCCTCACCTTTGGAGCTGGGAATCTTCCCCTGCACCCTGACAGGCGCTGGGATTCCAGATGGAGTCCGAATTTTGTCTTTCTCTTGTAGCTGACGGGTGGAGGTGGAAATGGAGCTGACACTTGGAGCCAGGTTCAAAGTTGAGCAGGACGTGGAAGGCCTGTCCAAGGAAGAAGGAGAGCGGCCACCAGCTGCTGGCTGGATATCATGGGGCTCTTGGTCAACCCTCTGCTTCTTGGTCATCACAGGATGGATAAAGGCAGAAGCCAGAGGCTGTTTCCGCAAAGATGATGCCAATTAGGTTTGGTCTGAAAAAGCAGCACGACTGACCTGGCAATGGATGAACACACACCTTTCTTACCTAAAATCGCCTGTCATACAAGGAGGTGCTGCAGCTCAATATGTTCTCATGAATGACAGTCACTATTTTCCCAGGGAAACGGCATCTGTTGGCAATGTGGTGCAGAAAATGTGCTTTCTGCTCCTCTCAGAGCCAAAATTCCTACCCATTCTTGTAAGTCCCTAAAAGATAAGGACCCTATTCAGCTGAGTGACAGTGAAGCAAAAAGGCAATCCAGGAATGCATTTTCCTGCTCACAATACCCTCCATTCACATGGGTGGTTTCTCACTGGCACACAGGAGTAAGGAAGGAACCCAAACACATCATGGTACATAAAATCAGATGTGTTGAGGGATGAACGCATCTCTCAGGGATATGGAAACCTCCCCTGAAAACCCAGTTCAGGCAGAGCTGGAGCTCTTTTGTGTCTCTAGGCAGGAAGATGCTCAGGATCTCCCAGAGAGGCTCAGCAGGCAGTAGCATTGGGCCTGGATCTCGCTCTGGAAATGTCTGTGGCTCAACTGAGAGCTCTGGGAATGATTTATAATGCACTGAGAGGGGCCACAGACCTGCAAGGGTCTTGCATCAGGAGCAAAGAGCAGCCTGGAGGGTGGGGAATGCTGCTGGATCTGTACCAATGTGTGCTCATCCCTCACCTTAATGGGGAGCTGCCCCCAAAGTTGCTATGTATCACTTTTATGGTTCTCCTCTTGGGCATATTTTGGAGCAGGTGTTTTCTGTGGCTTTTTATGGTGGGAAGCAGACATTTGCCTGCTGTGATATCCTCACAAGTAATACTAACTCCTCGTTCCCTTTGGTTTTATTTGGGTTTTTTTCATCTATTTGTTTGATTGGTTTGCGTGGCTTTGTTTGTTTGGGTTTTTGTCTGTTTTGGTTTGAGTTTTTTGTTTGCTTTTTTATAAGACTCAGGTGAAAGCTGCATAGCCAAACTCAAGAAAATGTACAGCAGGCTTGACTTTCCAGAAATTACTTTTGGCTGGGTTTAACTGCATCCTCCAGGCTCAGGATCACCAGTATATTTGCAGGTTTTCCTCTGCATCATCAGCTTGCCCAGACTCCGCTTGGTGTTTCACAAATGGAGAAGGCAATGGATATTGTGCCAAGCTTCCTTTCAAACAGCCAAACCTGCATAAGCATGACAGAAAATAAAGAAAACAAAGAGAAAATATTCACCAAGTAGAGCAGAACCAGTGTCCCACCATCTTCCCCTCCACTGTTATTAATTTTGTACATTTGGAGGCAAACCTGGGCCTAACGCTTCCATCTCTCCGTTCCTGATGCTACTGGACTCCAGCCTGGACTGCCCCTGATCCCACTGTCGGCTGTCCATGTGGGGCTGGGGATGCTCAGCCTGGAAAGAGGAGACCCTGGGGAGGCCTGACTGCAGCTCTGCAGGACTGCAAGGGTCCCACAAGAAAGGTTGGGACAGAGTGTTCAACAGGGCCTGTGACAACAGCACAAGGGAGGATGGCTTTCAGCTGCAGGAGGCTGATTGAGGTTGGATCTCAGGAAGCTGCTCTTTTCCACTGAGGCTGCTGAGGCACTGGCCCAGGCTGTGGATGCCCCATCTTTGCAACAGGGCTCTGAGCACCATGGTCTGGGGGAACGTTGCTAAGCGTGGAACCAAACGCTCTCTAGCTCAACTGTCACGTCACAATCCATGTCCCACCTGGAACTGCCAGCAGCCAGCAAGCAGCACAACACAACCGTTGGCCCTGGGGTCAGCACACCCTGCACGCTGCTCCTGCCCGCTCCTGCCACCCTTCTTGTTCCTGCCCCCGGATACCCCCATCATCAGTCTCCAAAGCTGCCTAAGGCCTGGATTGTGTCATCCATCCCTGCAGGATGCTGACATTTGTCCTGAGGAAGGTACGGTGCCATTCCATGGAGGTGGATCCCCCCAGCTGCCCGGGTTGGCTGGAGTTCTGGGGGGATGGGGTGGGACAGGGACCCCACTCTGAGGTTTTGCTACCTCTGCAGGCTGTCGCAGACAGAGAGGACAAGATGGAGGTGGACATACAGAGTGATAGAGAGGAGAGGATGGAGGTGGATGGAGAAAAGGCTGGAGAGGAAGAGATGGAGGTGGACCCACAAATTGATAGGGAGGAGGAGATGGAGGTGGATGGAGAACAGACCGGAGAGGAAGAGATGGAGGTGGACCCAACAACTGATAAAGAGGAAGAGATGGAGGTGGATGTGGATGTGGAAGAGGAGATGGACGTGGACATGGAAGAGTTCACCGAGGACATGGAAATTGATGAGAAAGATGAAGAGGAGACCATGGTCCTGGGATGAAGACTGATGTCAGCAGCAGGACAGACATGTGGTCCCCACAGGAAGAATGGGTTCCCTGCAGCCAGTCTGGGGCTGAGCTGGGTGGTCCCTGCTCCAGCACGTGGTACCCAGTGCATTGGATTCTGGTGGCCATGCCCGGCCTGTCCTGTTCTTGCTTTTGGCCGCACAAGCCCCATCCCAGGGCCTGGGGCCCAGCCCCCAGATGCAGCCAGCCTCAGCTCTGGCAGCAGAGTCCCGCTTTGCCAGCCTGGGGACACATGGAAGAGCCCTCTGTGCGTGACTGCAGTGACCATGGCACCTGCTTTTCTTCCTGCACTGATGGAGGTCCCGGACAGAGATGGCACCCTTTTGTATATAGTTTATAGAGTTTGTTGTTGCCTTTGGCTCTTAGGTTTTAGTGCTTAGTTTTGTCTTCTGTAAATACATTTCAAATATTGTTGTTAGATATGTTCTTAGGTATATACGTTCTATAAGTTGTTATTATTACAAATATTCTTAAAAATCTAATTGTGTTCTGTGTTTTCATTGCTGTTCTTCTGTAAATAAACAACCTTTATTTTTCACACCCCAGTTCTCTTTCCATTTGCTTCAGGCACAGGCAGCATTGGCAAAGCTGTGCTTTCCACTTGCTCCAGGTTGCCAGGGCTGGAGGTTCCTGGGGGAGCTGGCACAGCCATCCCAGTAGTGGTTGTCCCACTCAGAGGGTCCCACTGACAGAGGTCACTGTCTCCTTGCAGTCTCTCTGGACACATTGGTAGCTGCAGGGGAAAATCCCAGCGTGCCCGGTCCCGTGGGATCCCATGTTGGGACTCAATGTCCCAGCCAGGGTGAGCACTGCTTGTGGCCCTGGGCTCAGCATGGCAGGCCTGGTGCTCACACCACTGCAGACTTAGAGCTGGCCATGCACAGCTCCGTGTTTCTCCCAAAAATATCACTGCTGAAGCACCTGGGGTTCCCCAGTGCTGGGCTCTTTATCCCTACTGCATGGAGGATCACATGGCATGGCAAAGGATGGATCCCGTGTGGCATCCAACCTGCCCTGATCCAGGCTGGGCACCAGCAGGGCAAGGTGCAGTGCAATGTGTCTGCACAACCCAACCAGCCATCCTAGCCCAGCCCCTGGATGAGATGGAAAAACAGGTGGGGAGTGACTCCAAACAGCACTGTCTGATTTATCTTAGCCTAAACCAGCACTGGGGGTTGTTGGGAGAAAGGGAGAATTCACATGTTCAGTGACACATTGGATAAGGACCTTGAACAGATTCACAGAGTAAGGAGAATTTCTGCATCCCTGATTCACAATATTTGCAGCTAAAAAACACACCTGTTTGCCCAGGTAAAAGCAGATTTTCAATAGAGAGCTGGGTGGGATTAGGTAACAAGCAGATAGGAATAGGGAAGCAGCAGTATGTGACTTCTGTGTAGTTCTGAATGATGTTGTTCAAGACTGAGCTGCATAGTAATAAGAAATGGAAAAGCAATGATGAGAAAAATAATAGACGTACACAACAATGGAGATGAGATTGGATTCTGGTTTGAGGCAGGACTTGGTTCCAATTCAATCTGCCTGGGAAGAGGCCTGGTTTACACTCGCCTTGTTTGCTTTCCTTTGAAGAACAACAATATCCAAAACATGACAGAAGAATATTCCTGGGCTAGATGTTGGTAATTCAACTGCAAACCTCAGGAGAGGAAGGATTGCAGGAACCACAAGAGGAAGACAAATTGTAGTCTCATCAAACAACAGAAAAGTCCCGTGTCTGTGTATAAATATACAGCGCTTGTGTTGAATTCTTCCAGGAAAATGCAAGTCTGAAGTGAATCCCAGGTGTTTGCCTTCATGAAAATTAGCAAGCCCTGATTCGATTTCCTTCCCAGTCAGTGAATATGAAATCCCTGGGCAGATGCCTCAGTTCCAGGTGTAGGTAGAGTTTCTGTATCCAGGAACCTCTCCTCTGCATCTCCCATTTTTCTGAAAACAAGTCCACACAGTGGCCCCAGTGGCAGCACGTGTCACCCTCTGAGCTGCACTCGCTGAGATTTAGATTTCAGCCCAACTGAAGAACAACAAAGACTCCTTTGCGCCCATACCCAGAGACAGAGCCCAGAACAGAGCTCAGCAACTGTTTGAGCACTGCCCGGGCCTTTATCAGAACAATCTTAATTGATGTTGGAAGGGATTTAAAGGGCAAACACAGGTGGCTCTAATCCCCCTTCTCACTTAACCTCGGCAATGTAGCTCTTCTTTTGGCCAAGTTCAGCAGCCCAGTCATAGAATCCTAGCATGGTTTGGGTTAGGAAGGAACTCATGACCATCTCATTCCATGCCCCCTGCCTTCCACTGTACCAGGTTGCTCCAAGCCCTGTCCAATTGGTCTGGAACACCTCCAGGCATGGGGCTGCCACAGCTTCTCTGGCCAGTCTGTTCCAGGGTCTTACCAACCTCACAGAATAGAATTTCTTCCCACTCTCCTTCTGAACCTGTCCTTTGTCAGGCTGAACCCATTCCCCCTTGTTCTCTCCCTCCAGACCCTTTTGCAAAGTCCCTCCCCAGGTCTCCTCAAGCACCTTCAGGCATTGGAAGGAGCTCAAAGGTCTCCCTGGACTGGCTCCAGCAGCTCCACATCCTTCACCAGTTCCAGAAACCAACCAGAGTTCAATAATTGAGAGACAAGAACTAGGTGGTTCAACAATATTTACCAACACACGGAAATGACACAGTGTCCTAGTTTAGGGCAAATTTGGGGAAAACCCTCAGAAAGGAGCCCCCAGGAAAGAAACCCCCACGGCCCCTCCCCACCCAGCTGGTTCAGGGAAAAATTTCCTCTGTGAGAGAAGTGGAAAAGAACCTGTTTATTCAACAAACAAAGCAGTCCCCAGCACCAAAACAATTAACAACACCAGATGACAACAAAACTCTTTCACCCCTCTGAAGAGATGAACAAATCCAGAAAGTCTTTCCTGGGAGTGGTTGCCCGCTCTGGACGCTGGGGATTGCTCTCCAGCACTGGGGATGGCTGCTGCAGATCACAAAATGCAGGCTCCTGGTGTTCCTTGGTGTTTCCCAGATCCCAGTCCAGAGCAGGTTGGATGGTATTCAGGAAGAGGAAAGGAAAAAGCAACAGTCCAGGGAAGGAATTGGACTGCTTAGCTAACCTAACTAAGAAGCAAAGGCAAAAGCAGAAGCAAGCAAAGCATGCAAGCAGGCAAAGCAAGCAAGCCAAGCAAGCAAGCAAAGCAAAAGCCAGCCAGCCAGCCCTAGCCTTTTCTAGACAGCAGACCATGGGGGGAGGTGAACCAGATGATAACAAGGCAAAACAAACCTTCACTTTCAGAGTCAGTTCTGAAGGCACAGAACATAATATCAAACGTAAACAGAACACACGATTGGATATACAAACACCATAACGTCACCCTAGGACAACAGGGCAATCAAGAATATGAGAAATATGTAGTGGGGCACACTTCTGTAATATTAGCCTCATTTTTCACCCCACGAGTTGCTTCAGCACGAGCTCTCACACAATTGAAAATCTTGGTCCGCTGGACAGGAAAGTAAATATTCCATCTAAAATGTTAAGTGAGCTTGCCACTGATATAGGTGGTACCTGTCATGCAGTTCTTCAAAACAGAGCTGCCATTGACTTCCTTCTTCTAGCACAACGACATGGGTGTGAAAAATTTGAAGGCATGTGTTGCAAGAATTTGTCTGACCACTCTCAATCAATTCGCCAACAGTTAACGCAACTGAAAGACAACAAGAAGGAGCATGGAGCATGTTCCAAAGGCACCCTGTACACTAGCAGCAACCAGACCTGTCTCACCTGAGCTTCTCTGTGCCAGCATAAGCCAAAGCAGCACCAAGTTCCACAATTGTCTCACTACTGCCAGTCCTCACACCCCAGTTACTGAATGCTAAATATTCCCTTAGGGTCTGTGTAGACCACCACCAAGAATCACACAAATCATCATTCACATGTGAAACAGAACGTCCCCGATGAGAAATGTGAAGTTTAGTTTTGTCTCTGCAAAAAGCCACCATGGTGCTAGTTTAAAATGCTCTGCAGTAGGCTAAGGCAGAGCAAGAGCTGAACTTGCAGTGGCAGGGAAGTCCCTGCAGGCAGGTGACTGCAGCCACAGCCAGGTGAGAGCCTGCTTTTCTCAGGGCAGCTGGCTGTACCTGGCTCAGCTCACTGCTGCAGGCAGCACCACTGAGTGCCTGTAAGGGGAATGTGCACCTCGAGTCTGCCTGGAACCAGGCTCCTTGGGGAAACAGCATTGAGAACAGATTCATAACAAATGACATCACCTAAGCACCTTGTGCTTGTGGGAAATGATGGAATCCGTGGCGAAGATGACATCAATATCTTCCTTTCAATTGCCTTGAAAAGAACCCAACACAATGTTGCGGCAACACTCACTTATTAACAACCAAGAGAAAAAATTAAATCAAGCAAACTTTCCCAAGCTGACCTTATGAAATTCTCTATGCAACTTTCTCAAGGTTGCATAGGCTTTCCCAATTAAATTTAAAGGATAATGACAGTGCCTAGATACTCCAAAAGCAAAACCTTAGCTACCAAGGCAGTGAATTTAGGTGCATGGAGTAGTCCAAACTTTGACCTTAATGCTCCAAATTGCATCCCATCAACCAGTATGCAAACAAGGAAGGACTAGCAGGTTTTCTCAGGGGAAAACAAGCCAGTGGCTAAATGCGGTGACAAGAGACTGCAAGGTTGACGTGAGGGCATACCACCTCCATTCGAGATCTCTGAACACAAGAGATCCCCTGTCCCAAGAGTATGCTGCAAAAATGAATGACCAAGTTGAAAATCTTACCGACACTGAGCAAAATGTGAAAGGCAATCATACCTCCAGCTGGGTTATACAAGTTGACATTCTGCGCACTTCCATTGTGTGATGCCTCGCTGGCATTTGGCTAAAAGGAAAGAGATATTTTCTGTAAAAACTTCATCCTGCTCTCCATCACTGCTGATTAACTAGGCCCTTTGTTTTAAACAAGAGCTGTATTTGCAAAGGTTTGCTATCACATCACTAGAAAGGGCTGCTTTGACACAGTTCTCCCTCTGCAGGCAGCCGGCTACAAAACTGCCCTGAGAGAGCAACCCTCACTTGGCCTCTAACGCAGCCAAGCGTTCAAGTAGCAAGTCATCCTTTCCCAGTTGCCGGAATTTATAGGCACAGGCTGCCCTTGAAATCAAGTGCCTGAGTACAACTGAACTGGCCAGTGTTCAGCTAACAATCCAGGTGAGAGTGGTTCACAAAAATATAAGAATTTTGGACGCGACCTGATGCTGGGATTTATTTGGTACTAAGGAAGCACATCTTGGAGTCAGCTCCAAGAAGAATTTCATCTGCATAAGGTGAATTTTGACTCTCAACAGGCATGAAAGCCCTTTCTCTTGCCCTCAGCTCTAGATGCAATTCTTTGCAGCTGTGAAATGGAAGCAGTTTATCCTAGGTTAATCAGATATAACAAAATTCGGGTTGCTTGTCTGATTTCATAATTTAATACAGAATATATCACATTCTGCGGGAGGTTAAAAATCACTGAAATGTTCATCAGCCTAAGTACATTTTTTAACGAAAACAACGACTGCCATCCAACTGCTACTTTCTGTAGGCAAAATTGTCTGAGATAAAATCTAAAAAGCTATGATAAATGGACTGAAAGATGTGAATTAATTACCATGAGAAGGGAGACATCAATGCCAGAGAGAAGATAGAATATTACTTAATTGAAGAAATTATGTAATTTAGAACCAATGAAGATTAATTGGTTCTTTTTTTTGCTAAAAATGCTGAAATTTCTTTGCTTGGAAAAGCTTTGAAAACGTTTTGCATGTGGCTGGAGTTCTCCACTATGCATCACAGCTGAGCATAAATACTAAATACTAATACTAAAAAATACTGTTAGAGAGTTTCCTTTATCCTGACATGTTCGGTGAGTGCAGTGCAAACATGGAACAATGAGAAATACATGCATTTTGACCAAGAGCCATGCCCAGAGCATGAATTTCCTGAGTGTCCCAGCATTGAGAACATCTGACTTTCACTGGAACCTCCTCAGTGCAATCCCTGAGAAACACATCCATCAGAGAACTTCCCACTTCCACTGGCACCTCTTCCATGTCATCCCTGTGAGTGGCTTCCCCCCGGGCAGCTGCCTCAAAGGGGCCCTTGGAGCACCAGTGGGGCCCCAGCCCTGCCCAACAGGTCCCGCGGGGTCAGCAGCACCTGACACCAACACCATGGCCAAGCCCCCACCCGCTGGCAGCCCGCAGAGCCCGACACCTGCCCCTCACCTCTTGGTCCTGGGACCTCTGGGTCACCCTGACGGGCACGGCAGGGCTCTTGAGGGCCCTGCGGGACGCAGTGCAGACTTGGGCCCTGTTGGGGTGCAGGGCTTGACAGGCTTCAGCTACCTCAGACACCGGGGAGGTTAGCAAGGCTTGGGAAGAAGGATGTACCACTGATGGTGGGCACAAAGAATGCAGATTTAGGGGCACAAGGACATTTGGCAGAAGCCCCAAGGAAAAGTACAAACTGATAAAGCCAATGCAGAAACTGCACTGAATCACCTCCCGTGAGGTAAAAGGCCATTCCAGCAGGGGCAGGCCATGGCCATGCGCTCCAGAAGCCATTGACATAAAAGAAGGGAGAGACTGAGCATGCAGACTAATGAACATGAGAAGTGAGAGGATCATTACCCAACAGCAGACAGAATGCTAATTATGAAGAGAACTAGGGAACTTGCAGTCAATGAACATTAATTCCTTTCTTTGCTAAAATGTAGAAATACTAAGACACTCTACTTCTTGGGGTGCTGGCTTTGTGAATATTTCCCTGAGCCCCCCATTTCTGCACAGAACTGTAAATAATTACCTCCACTCAGTGTGTGGATCAGCCTCTTAATCAACATGTGCTAGAACCAGCTAAACTGGAACAATACTCGCTCTCTCTCTGACACCTCTGCTCTCAACACAGCTGCTGAAGGGTCTGAGCAGTCCTGCTATGTGCTGGTGACAATGGCCACGTGTCCTTGGAAACGGGGATTTTTTCACTGCTGTTTCTAGTAAATTGTTCTTATCTCAACCTGTGATCTTTACCTACTTGTGCTCTTCTATCCTCCTGCCACAGGAAAAGTGGTGGGGAAGTCAGTGAGTGGCACATGGTCTGAGCTGTATCAGTGGAACGCAAAACTGGGGAATACCATTCCTACACTGCAACAATGTGGAAAAATCAATTTCCTAAGTTACTTTCCTTACTGTCTAGTCCTACAGGAAAATTAGCCTGCTGAAAAGCAACTGCTGTCATTGAGCTGAAAGCCTGCTAGGTAATTCCTGTTTTAAAGTACAGATTTAATAAAATTACACAGAAAGCAAAAATTAAATATTGATAAATAGTCTTTATAATAACATTTTAAAATATTTTTAAATTAATGATGGGAGAAATTCCTGTGACCTTTTTCTGGTCCCACAGTGACAAAGAATTCTATAAAGCAAATTACAACTGAATAGTTTCAGCCTCTAAAAATAAGTTAAGCAAAATAGTAGAAAGAGTTACATCTGAGTTGCATTTCCAAAGCAGATGGTTTACTTTAATGGTTAAGGCTAAAGAACGGGAAATGAGAGAATCTGTGTGGTGAAAAAAACCCACCCATAATGGAACTGTGCAAATGCACTCTGTTCCTCCCTGAAATGGAAAGTCTCATATTCAAAATATCATTGAAAGTTGAGGCCATGATTTCAAGAGATTTAATGGCAATCACCTGTGTCATAAGTCATTAAAGAGAGCAGTACTGATCTGACTTCACAGGTGTCTGAATGAATGACAGAACAGAAAATCAATACATTCCTAATCATGTTTTCTTGGATAAGTCAGATTTTCCAGAGGATTCAGAAAACAGGTTTGGGCTTGGTTTTTTCTCCCTCTAAAAAATGGCCAAAAGAGTTCTTGCTTTCACTTAGTTCTGAAGGGTCACTCGGCTAGGATCAAGGGCAAAGATAGCAGATTCCAAAAAGATGTCCTTGATTTTCAGACTTTTCACAGACAAAATACCATGAAAGAAAAAATTAAAATTCAGACACCACTTTGCTCTCCATTAAACCACAAACCCACACTCTAACCTAACCCTAAGCCTAAACCCACACCCTAACCTAACCCTAAACCCACACTCTACCCTAACCCTAACCCTTCTCATTAATACAAACACAGAAACACTGACAGCCTTGGTTGGCAGAAAAAGGAAAACTGATTTCTCGACAACTCATTGAGAGCTGTCAATGTTAAAGCCCCTGCCCTGGGTTTCACTGCCACTCCCCACCTGTGCCCATCCCTGCAGGGCAGGACCAGTATCAGGAGGACCTGTGGCAAGAGGTGGTGACAGTAGCAGGTCCCTCTGCCCGGGGCAGAAGGCACAGCACCTCTGCTCCTGGCTGGAACAGGGGCCCCTTGCCCGGGGGGCACATGGTGTCCCAAAAAGTGGAGGGGCCTCGGCAAGAGGCCAATCCACCAGCAGCTCTAGCAGGGCTCATGCAATTCTTTATCCAAGGAAAAGGAAATAAATTGTCATTTCCCTCACATAGTCCCTAGACGCTGCTTTCTCTCCCTTCTAATGCCCTTCACCGTCCCCTCGTGCCCCGCTGTGGGTGACACCCCTGTGCTGGAGGGCACAGCCATGGGCCCCTGGAGTCCAAGGGCTATGTCAGCAGTGGCACCTCTTCCCACAGGAAATCCTGCTGCAGCTGCCATACCCTCAGCAGAGCAGATGCCAAATGCAGAGCAGGCAGCAGGAGCAGCTGGTCTGTCAGAGGACCAAGCCCCTAACTTTCCTGTCCAAATATCTGGATACGCAGTGACTCCACAAGCCAATATAATGGAACTAGGGGCACTCCCCTCTGATGTTTCAGCCCAGAAAGTAGAACTAATTTCAGTCACTTGAGCTTTGGAATTGAGTAGAGGAAAAGGAGTTTACATTTGAACTTTTTCAGAATACGCTTTTGGAGTGGTACATGCACATGGGACTTCTGGAAAGAAAGAGACTTTTTGACATATCAAAGCTCCAATCAAAAACGGAGAACAAATCTTGGGTTTACTTGAAAGTATCCAGAAACCAGAGGAAGTTGCCATCAGGCATTGCAGAGCACACCAAGTGGTTAAGACCAAACTGGAATTGGGGAAACATTTAGCCAACGAGACTGCAGAAAAAGACATTGTAGAAAACATATTAGAAAACAAAGTTTTCTTATGCTGTAAAATGAACTATAGGTATTCAGAAACTAGTTCCCATACGGAACTGTGTCTCAAGAAAAGGGGGGACTTGATAAGGACCATAGAACAGAGTGTTAGAATTCAGGAACACACATAATCACAGGATATGATTATATGCAGGTGCTTTTACTGAGAGCTCTGGGAATCAGGGGTACAGACCCAAATCTGACTCCGACATGGCTTTTGAGCTGAACGTATTTTCTATTCTATCGTTGTGGTAGATAGGGACAGGCGGAGCGGAAGATCACGGAATGTCACGGAAAGATAGACCCCTTCCCCCCCTCTCTCTCCCCTGCTTATCTGCTAACCCCAGGGGTCAGAGAAGAATGTAGCCACACCTGTCCTGGTAAAATTTCACTACCCACTATCCTCCGAAACCCCAAACCCCCCTCTGACGTAGCAAAGACTCCTAAACCTATATAAACCCACGAAATAGAATAATAAACGCTTTTCAACCGTCTGCCATATTGGTGTCTGCGTGTGTTGATTAGCCCGAGTGGCTTGGACGAGACCAGGCCGCCGTGCTGCCTTACCTGAACCAGGTCCCTGGTTGTCTTTCATAAAGGCAACATACTGGTGCCGGAAACCCGGGACAAAAGAAGAAAAATTTGCCCGGCTGACGGGTTTCACCTGGACAGAAGCAGCGGCCAGGACGGTGGAACCGTACCCAGGCGTAGGGGAGACGTCCCCGGACCCGCGAGCGTCATAGACAGCGTCGCATGGGTCGTAAGTATGAGGCAATAGAATATCGCGTTTAAGCTCAGGAACTTTTATCTTGCTATAGCAAGGCTGCCTGAGCTTGGAGCAGCCGAATGCTCAGTGGATGCCATGCATCCGGGGATATGGGAACAGTATACAGCCACGCTAGCCGGAGAGGCAAAATCCTCAGGCGAAAGCGTTACGGCACGGGGCAAAGTAAAAGAAACCCCGCGCAAAGCAATAGAAAAACAAAAGACGCAGAATGCAGCGCGCACGTGTTTATTAGTCAAACCCGAGCTCGGGGGGGGGGCGAAAGCGCAGACCGTCCCTGAAGAGAGTCCACCCGGGACCGGAGACCCGAGAGGGCTCAGCGCGACAACCCCTTCCCCGGATCAGAGCGCAGCCCAGCCCCGCCGCGGAGCTGAGCCCAGCCCAGCCCGGCAGAAGCAGCGCTGCCGCCGGAGCGGCGCGTTTCAAGCGGCGCGGCCCCAACCCCGCCGGAGCGCGCTCCGAGCAGCGCGACTCCGCTCCCGCCGGAACCCAAGCCCGCCCGCGGCTCCGTGCCGCTTCCCCGCCGGCGCGCCGAGCGGAGCAGCGCCGAACCCCGCCGCAGAAGCCCCCCGGGACACCCCCGCCGCGAAAAACCCCCGCGAAAACCCCGCCGCAGAAAAACCCCGAGAAGCCGCCGCTTCCCAATCCGTCCCGCCGCCGCCGCCGGTCAGAGATCCGCGGTCAAAAGCGCAGCCGCGCGCGGGGCGCTCTTGGCGAGAGCCGGCGGGAGAGACCGGAGTCGCAAGGGCCGCGGCTCGGGGAGAATCCCCGGCCGCCCGGCCACGCGGTCGCTTTGAAAATGGCGCCGGGTGCCGCGGAGGGGGGCGGAGCCCGAGCGGTCCCGGCGCGAAAACCCGGACACCGCGCGACTTCAGGGGCGCGCGCGCGTGGGAGAAAGGGGCGGAGAGCGGCTCGGGACACAGAGCCAATCAGCGGCCGTGCCGGGAGCCGCCACCATATAAGGGAAAAACCACCCCCCGCAGGGGGCGCAGCGAGCCGGGGGGGCGGGAGCGGCCCCTCCCCCGCGGGGAGGAGCGAGCCCGGGGCCGAACAAAACGGCGCGGGGCCCCGGAAGTACGCTGGCATTTCATTTCCGGCGCGGAGCCTGGCAACAGCTCTACCGACCCCTCCGAGCCGGCGGGAGCCAGCCGAAACTCCGAAACAAAAGATACGGAACCAGCACAGTTTAAAACAAAACCGAATAGAGTTCTAAGCCGCACCGAAAAGCGGTCACAATACCCCTTAGAGCTGCTGCAAAAAAGAGCATCTCGCCAAAGAATACAGGTCCCAACCCCCGGACACACAAGGGGCGGGGGCGGGGGGGGAGCGCGCGGGCGGGGGGGGAGCGCGCGGGCGGGGGGGGAGCGCGCGGGCAAACCCAGCCCCCTCCCACCGCAAATAACGGCGCGCGTGCCGCAGGGTCAGCAAGAGACGCCCCCGATACGGGACCCCGGGGTAGCCCTAGCTATGAAAGTGGGGAGAAAGCCCCCGGGGATGTGGGGGACATGCTGCCTCTGTGGCAGTCAGAACCCCCATGTAGTGAAACCATGAAAGCCACTGCTGCACACCACCGCTACCAACCGAACCTGACCCTCAGAACAAAACTAATGAGAAGCTATAAGTTCTGTTTGCAGAGCACGCTTGTGAACCATCCCAGTGACACACACACCCCTGCTCCAGAGAGAGATAACGGACCACCAAGCCATCAGACAGAGCCCGAGCGTCCCACGGCAGTAAGACCCAGACATGTGCAGTGTCTCTGTGCAATCCTGCTAATAGGGTTTGTGGCCGGGGGGCAAGCCGACCCAGGCCACTACCCTCACCAGCCGTTCAGATGGGTCATGCAACATCTCTCAAGCGACAAGGTGTTCAAAGAGGTCACCACCGCAAACGCTCCATCCTTCGTATTCCACATAGCCGATCTGTTTCCAGGGCAACCGAAAATACGGCCCATAAACCCACGTATCGTACTCATGTACATATCCTATTGGTGCCCAGCGTCCAACCCAGGGAAAAGGTACTGTGACTACCCGGGATGGGGACATTGTGGGTATTGGGGTTGCGAAACCATTGTTACAGATGCCAAACCATGGGCAGACGGGTGGCAACCACAAGAGCCCGACAAATTCTTACAGTTCACCTGGGCACCCTTTGGCTGCGGAGACCACACTGCACAGCCTAGACAACGGGCATGCGCAAGTTATAACATGACTGTCCTACAGCCAGATCACCCTAGCTGGGCCATGGGTAGAACATGGACAGTGGTCCTCAAAGGACCGAGGAGGTGGGTGAATGTGAGAATTATCAGGCTCCAGCCACCAACGCCTCGACCAGTGGGACCCAACAAAATTATCAGGAATGTGCTGAGAGGGAAAAACACAACCCACCCCAAAACCCTGACCCCAAAAGCCACTGACACCCCGACCAGCCTTGCAGATACCCCCCAGATAGGCCGCATGGCTGAGTCAGACCCAAACCCAATCTTTCGTATGCTAGAAGCTACCTTTTTAACCCTAAACGAAACCAAACCGAACCTAACTAACTCCTGTTGGCTTTGCTATGATATCAAACCCCCTTTTTATGAAGGCATTGCTTTGGACACCCCCTTCAGTTACTCCTCGGCCAGCGCCCCCCACCAGTGCAGATGGGACACTCCCCGCAGAGGAATCACCCTGAGTCAAATCACAGGACAGGGCAGATGTTTTGGGAATGCAACCTTAGCGAAGCAGAAAGGCAACTTCTGCACTAAAGTTGTCAAACCTAACAGAAAAACTAGCAAGTGGGTGATCCCATCTGCGTCTGGGATGTGAGTTTGCCAAAGGTCCGGAGTGAGTCCTTGTGTGTTCCTTGACAAATTCAATGATTCTACTGCTTTCTGTGTCCAAGTTCTGATTGTCCCCAGGGTCTTGTACCACTCAGACGAAGAAATATACCATCTTCTCGAAGAACCTAACAGACTCCACAAAAGGGAAATCATCACAGGTATAACTATCGCAATGCTGCTCGGCCTGGGAGCAGCTGGCACAGCCACGGGTGTCTCAGCCATCGCAACCCAGCAACACGGACTCTCCCAGCTGCAAATGACCATCGACGAAGACCTGCAGAGGATCGAGAAATCCATCTCCTACCTAGAGAAATCAGTCTCTTCACTTTCAGAAGTAGTTTTACAAAATAGGCGGGGACTGGACCTTTTGTTTATGCAGCAGGGGGGATTGTGTGCAGCTTTGAAGGAGGAATGCTGCTTTTATGCAGATCATACAGGAGTCGTTAAAGACTCCATGGCAGAACTCCGAGACAGACTGGCTCAGAGAAAGAGAGACAGGGAGACCCAGCAGAGCTGGTTTGAATCCTGGTTCAATCAATCACCTTGGCTCACCACTTTAATTTCCACCCTGGTAGGTCCACTGGCAATACTGCTTTTGGCTATTACCATAGGACCATGCCTGCTGAACAAACTAGTCTCGTTTGTTCAAGCCCGTCTGGAAAGGGCAAACATTCTGTTCGTAGGCCACCAACAAATGCTATAAACCAAAAAACTGCAAACACAGTCAGTAGCTAAAGCCTTCAGCACCTGCCTTAAAAAATCTACCCTGATCTACTAAACCACCCTTTCCTTAACAAGTTACAAGTCTGTACCTCACTCCAATGCCTCTATCTACAACTACCTCATTTTGTATATGATAAGGAGGGGGGAGGTGTGGTAGATAGGGACAGGCGGAGCGGAAGATCACGGAATGTCACGGAAAGATAGACCCCTTCCCCCCCTCTCTCTCCCCTGCTTATCTGCT